ATAATTTTCTATGAATAAGAATCAATTAGCGTTTCAGTAGACTGATTTCTTTTAATAATCATTTTTAAAGTTACATGACACACAAATCATCGGAGTCAAGCAACGTAAACAAAACTGACAGATAATGATTTATAATATATCTTACATTTATAGGTATTTTATCAAAAAATACCCATAAATTTAACTTAAAAATTAAAAACTTATCTGTGACAGGTCACTACCGTCATCAATCAACAATAAAAACAATATTAATTAGTAATCAATTCATAAGGAACAAGTGGCCCTTTGCACAAAAAATAACCACCTAAATTCATTAAAAAGAGATGCAACTATAAGATATACGTCTGTAAAATACCATTATTTTGTCTATGTTCTGTCCATCATACAATAAATTTTTATAAATAATAATCAATTAGTCCGTCAGTAGACTGAGTTCTGTACATAATCATGTTTAAAGTTACTTAGTCATCAACTAAGTTAAACTCGTTAAACTTACTAAGTCATCGATACACAAGTCATCGGAGTAAAAAAAAAAAACACAAGCAAATTTGATTGTTAATGATTGATGTTGTTGATGATAAATTTCCATGCCACGTTGAACAATTATGGTAACCATTTTGTTAATTTTGTGGATCATACAAGCTGTGTTGTACCTATGTTGGCCAATATATTTTTTCTGTGCTTATTTCTTTTCTTTTTTTCCCACTTTGCGAACTCAAAGTTTCTTGTTGGAATACAAATATAACCTGTATAATGGTGCTCATAATACTAAACATCTCATCATTTATGTAAACTTTTAGTTCTCGTGCTTCGTAAAATATATTAAAAAGTTTTCGTAAAATTTAAATTTTTTCTCTAAAACGTTAGTTTTTCCCTAAAACAATGTTTAAGAAAATCTCGGCAGACTCCCTTCCAGAAGAAGTAAAAATATTCCAACAGAATTTCAAAGAATTCTTCTGGTATTATTTCTAAAATTATTCCTTTTTGATTATGGTTACCGTAGCAACGGGATGCTGACAACACACTTTTTAAATCTTTTCCGACATACATATTCTTCTAGACAATCTTCTGGGAAAAAATTCTTTACATCAGAAAGAGATATTGAAATTTTTGCTAATATCTGTTTTAAATTTTTCCAGAAGAGTTTTAAAAGGACACAAATTTACAATTCTGATCAGATCCATAGAAAATTTTCATCATCTTTTTATATCCTCTTCTAAATAAATAGCAATTTAAAGTTGCAATGTAATAACCTGTTTTCTCTATAAAATGCTGTGTTGGATTATTTGGTATAGCACTGCTGATTTTTTTTTCTCAACAGCAGCCAGTTTTTTAAAATGGATTTAAATAATCGAGAGATTTAGAATTCTCCAGTAAAAGAGGGTACCGTCCTCAATTAGTGCATCGTAAACATTATTAAAGGAATAAAATTGCAAGCTCTAAGATGATCTCAACTATGTTCCATTTCTGTGATAAATCTCGTAAAAAAAGGAAAGGAAAAATAGTTTTGGCTAAATGCTAGGAAGTATTGACGACTAATAAAATTTAATGTTTTTAATCAAACTGTATGTTTAAATTAGTTATAACATTAAAGGAAATGTTACATATTTTTAATTTTCGAAGAATTTCTCTGGTATTATTTCTATTCTATTTGAATATGGTTACCGTAGCAACGGGATGCTGACAACACACCTTTTAAACCTTCTTCGACGAACATCGGTTTCTAGAAATCTTCCGGAAAAAAAAAATCTTTACATCTAAAAGAGATATTGATATTTTTCCTAATATCACTTAAAATTTTCCACAAGAGTTTATTAGAAAGGACACAAATTTACAATTCTAATCTGATCCATTGAAAATTTTATCATCGTTTTTTATGTTTTTTTTTTCTAATGCAGCTGGCAATATAGACCGTGATCTTCTATGTCATAAGGGCTGCACCGACGTTACTCACTCACGACGTCACCCATGGGGCACGTGTAACTTGAAGACAAGCCACGGACGCGGAGTAACAATGCCCCCGCACCGCTCTACGATCCTATTAGGACCGGGACCTACTGTTTAAAGGGCATTCCGAACCACTACAAAAATCCATGGCAACGCCGGGATTCGAACCCGATACCTGTGGTACCGAGCGCCAGAGCGCTAGCCACTCGATCATCAGGCCCTTCGTTTTTTTTTTATGTTGTTCGATAAAAATTGCACTTAAATTTGCCAATCAAATAAACTGCATTCTCTATAAAACTATTTGGTATAGCCCTGCTGATATCTTTCCCAAGTACAGCCAAAAATGAACATAAGATTGCCAGTTTCTTAAAATGAACTTACATTTTCGAAGATTGAAATCATAAAAAAAAGTTCAAAATTAGTATATTATTAACATAAAATACTCAAAATTGTTCTCTTTGAATAATCGCAAGATTATTTTTAATTACTTTTTACATTTTAATTAAATTAAATTTCATCAATGAGCATTCTTATGACAGTTTATTTCGCAAATTTATAAAAAAATGAATTAAATATCTGAATAAATAAAATATTAATAAATATTTAAAAACTGAATTATTTATGATTATAAAAATATTAAATACTGATATTGATTTAATAAATGGAAATATTTAACTAATGATGATTATAAAAATATTAAATATTGATATTGATTTAATAAATTGAAATATTTAATTAATTATTACTATAAATCACTAAATATTGATATTGCTTTAATGAATTTAAATATTTTATTAATGATTATAAAAATAATAAAAAAAAATATTAAATATGGATACTGATTTAATAAATTGAAATGTTTTAATATTGATGATTATAAAATTATTAAATATGTATACTGATTTAATAAATTGAAATATTTAAATATTGATGATTATGAAAATATTAAATACTTTATAAATGGAAATTTATTTAAAATATTAAATATTGATATTGATTTAATAAATTGAAATATTTAATTATTTAATAAATTGAATATTGATATTGCTTTAATGATTAAATAATTATAAAAATATTAAAATATTAAATATGGATACTATAAATTGAAATGTTTTAATATTGATGATTATAAAATTATTAAATATGTATACTGATTTAATAAATTGAAATATTTAAATATTGATGATTATGAAAATATTAAATACTGATATTGATTTAAGAAATTGAAATATTTAAATATTAATGATTATAAAAATATTAAATATTCATACTTATTTAATAAACTTAAATATTTAAATATTGATGACTATAAAAATATTAAATATTGTTATTGATTTAATAAATTGGAATATTTAAATGTTTAAAAATGTAAATAACATAAATTTAAATACATGAATATAACCTACTCTTAATTTTTAAATTTTTACTCATGGTTTTTAAACACCTGTTAAAAAATTTTGCTTTTGTATTGAAAATGTATTTCTCTTTATATTCCTGTCGAAATATTTTAGTTATTTTCATTAACATCTACTTCTAAAATAAAAATTTGAAATATAATTTTGTGAAATTTAAACCGTCTCATATTTCTAAAAGATACTCTTTTCATACAAGTAAAAATATTTCAACCGATATTGCTCTAAAATAATTCATTTTGACTACGGTTACCATAGTAACGAGACTTTGATAACATGCTATTTAGAAGTCATTTTTACCTACCATCTTGTACAAGACTTCTAGAAGAAATAAAAATCTTTTAACTCTAACAGTGATAGTGAATCTTCCCCAACATCTCTTCTAAATTTTTAAAGAAGAATTTTAGAAGGACACAAATTTGCAATTCAGATGAGTTCCTTCGAAGATTCTGATGAAGATTCTATCAGCCTATTTTTTTATTCCTCTAAATGAACTGCATTTAAGGTTGTTGTATTCAAATAACTTGTTTTCTGCATAAAACGTTGCGTTGAATTAAAGCTCTTTGGTATAAAGCAGGTGTATTTTTCTGGTGGGAGGAATTCCTCTTTTAAATGGAAAGCACTTAATCCCCACTAATTGACTTTTGGAAAGATTCAAAGCATTCTCCAGTAAAAGAGGGTGCCATCCTCAATTAGTGCATCGTAAACATTATTAAGATGAGTAAAATTGATAGCTCTAACAGGATCTCAAGTATGTTCCATTTCTGTAATAAATCACGTAAAAATAAAGAATAGAAAAAATAATTCCCTTTAAGTCCTTCGAAGGATTCACGATTAGTATAATAAAATGTAATGTTTTGAATCAAACGGCATTTTTAAATTAGTTATGGCATTAAAGTAAATGTTACATGTTTTTAATTTTTACTACAATATACGACGCAAGAAGTAATATCCTCTTCCTTTAAAGAGTTTTTTTTTTTACCATTACCATATTGTTATAATAAATTTTAATTAAGTAGCAAAATGTATGTATGAAAAGTATCGAAAGCTACAGTTACTATTAAGTATTACAACTGTTATTATTAAGCATCAAAAGCTGCTGTTATTATTAAGTATTACTACTGTTATTATTTACCATTTATGCAATGACGTCAGAGGGTGCCTAATTGCTGTGGTAAACATTTTTTTGTTCTGTGCATTATAATGTATTGTACCTATGTTTTTAAATAAATTTTTTCTGTGCTTGTATATTTTTTATTATCCCACTTTGCACCCTTTTGCTTTTTTGTAGTTGGAGTTCAAATGTATCCTGTCCAAACAAACAGCTCATCCTTTATCTAAACTTTTAGATATCTTGCTTCAAAAAATATATTTAAAAATGTGTCGTAATATTCATATAATTGCAAGCTGTAAGTTGATCTCAACTTTGTTCCAGTTATGTAATAAATCTAGTAAGAAAAAGAGAAATAATTTCAGTTAAATGCTTGGAAGGATTCACGACAAGTATAATAAATTTTAATGTTTTTAATCAAATGGTATGTTTAAATGTAACGTTATAGTAATGATAAAAAAACTCTTTAAAAGAAAAAAACATTACTTCTCGCTTGAATTACTACAATAACAGTTAACGTACCATTACCAACGGCCGTACCATGCTGAATATACCGGTTCTCGTTAGATCACCGAAGTTAAGCATCATTGGGCGCGGTCACTGGGTAATGGGAATTCAAGCGAGCAAATTTGGGACCTGAATGGCCGAGTGTCTATCGGTTTTCGGGTTCGGCCATCCCGGCAGTGCCATGGATGTTTGTAGTGGTTCCGGAATCCACTTTAAGCCGTATAACGACTGTAAGAGCGTCACAGAGCAAAAGTCAGGCTTCTTACGGGTGCTCCATCACAACAGTATTAAAAGCTCCATATGGGCTCGTGGGCCATGGGATAAGCAACAAACACAATTACATGCTTTTAATTTTTACTGTAATAATTCAAGCGAGAAGTAATGTTTATTTTCTTTTGAGTTTTTTTTTATTATTACCATAACGTTACAATAAATTTTGATTAATTATCAAAACTATTAAAATTTAATGTTATTGTTAAGCATCAAAAGCTATTGTTATTAATAATCATCAAAACTTACCGTTATTATTGAGCATCAAAGCATACCGTTATTATTAAGCATCAAAAGCTACTATTTTTAATACTCATCAAAAGTTACTAAAAGATATTGCTCTTAAATTTCCTGTCAAAATACTTCAATTTTTTTACTGAAACATTTACTACTAAAATAAAAATTTATTCATAATTTAGTGAAATTCAAACTGTCTCATACCAGAAAAAAAATGTTATAATAAATTTTGATTAAATATCAGAAGTATCAAAAGCTACTGTTATTATAAAGAATCAATTCGTACCGTTATTTAGTATGTTTAAAAATATCTCATTCCATTCAAATAAAACTATAGCAAAAAAAATTTAAAGGTATTCCTTTTAAAGGTATTACGGTTACCATAGTAACGAGACTCTGACAACATACTATATAGAACTCTTTTCTACCTAGTATCTTATGCGAAACTTCAAGAAGAAGAAAAAATTCTAACTCCAAAAGTGATAGTGAAACTTCCTCAACATCTCTTCTAAATTTTTCCTGAAGAATTTTAGAAGGACACAAATTTGCAATTCAGATGAGTTCCGTACGAAGATGCTGATGAAGATTGCAACATCCTATTTTTTGTTCTTTTAAATGAACTGCATTTCAGGTTGTTGTAATCAAATAACTTGTTTTTCCTCATAAAACGTTGCGTTGGATTAAAGCTCTTTGGCATAAAACAGGTGTATTTTTCTGGTGGGAGGAATTCCTTTTTTTAAATGGGAAGCACTTAATCCCCACAAATTGACTTTTGGAAGATTAAAAGAATTCTCAAATAAAACAGCGTACGATCCTCAATTAGGGCATCTTAAATGTTACTAAAATGAATAAAATTGCAAGTTCTCAACTATCTTCCATTTCTGTAATAAATCTCGTTATAAGGTGCTAAGGAAAAATAATTTCGTTTAAATGTTTGGAAGGATTCAAGATAAGGATAATAAAGTGTAATGCTTTTAATCAAACGGTATATTTAAATTAGTACATAAAAGGAAATGTTACATGTTTTTAATTTTTACTGTAATAAATGACCCAAGAAGTAATATTCTCTTACTTTAAAGAATTTTTTTTTACCATTATCATAATGTTATAATAAATTTTAATTAAGCAGCAAAATGTATGTATGAAAAGTATTGAAAGCTACAATTATTATTAAGTATTACAACTGTTATTTTTAAGCATCAAAAGCTGGTTTATTGTTAAGTATTACTACTGTTATTACTTTAGCCTTAATGCAATGACGTCAGAGGGTGCGTTATAACTGTGGTAACCATTTTTTTTTGTTCTGTGCATTATAATGTGTTCACCTATGTTTTCCAATAAATTTTTTCTGTGCTTATATATTTTATACTGTCCCACTTTGCACCCTTTTGTTTTTTTGTTGTTGGAGTTTAAATAGATCCTGTATAATGGTGCTCATAATGCCAAACATCTCATTTAACTAAACTTTTTGAGCTATCGTGCTTCATAAAATATATTTTAAAATGTGTCGTAATATTTAAATTTTTTACTAAGACAAAATTGCAAGCTCTAAGATGATCTCAACTGGGCTCCGTTTCTGTAATAAATCTCTTAAAAAATGCTGTAAAGAAAAAATAATTTCGGTTAAATGCTTGGAAGGATTCATGACAAATATAATAAATTTTAATGTTTTTAATCAAAAGGTACGTTTAAATTAGTTATGACATTAAAGGAAAAATTACATGCTTTTAATTTTTACTGTAATAATTCAAGCGAAGTAATGTTTTTTTTTTTCTTTTAAAGAGTTTTTTACCATCACCAAAACGTAACAATAAATTTTTATTAAGTATCAAGAAATATCAAAAGCTACTGTTATTATTAAGCATCAAAAGCTATTGCCATTAATAAGCATCAAAACTTACCGGTATAATTAAGCATCAAAAGTTACTGTTATTATTAAGCATCAAAAGTTAATCGTGTCGGCCTCCTTTCGCCCGGCGAAGTGCAGCAACTCGACGTGGCATGGACTCAACAAGTCGTTGGAAGTCTTCTGCAGGAATATTGAGCCATGCTGTCTCGATAGACGTCCATAATTGTGAAAGCGTTGATGGTGCAGGATTTTGGGCACGAACAGACCTCTCGATGATGTCCATAAATGCTCGATGGGATTCATGTCGGGCGATCTAGGTGGCCAGATCATTCGTTGGAATTGTCCAGAATGTTCTTCAAACCAATCGCGAACAGTTGTGGCCCGGTGACATGGCGCATTGTCATCCATAAAAATCCCATCGTTGTTTGGGTACATGAAGTCCATGAATGGCTGCAAGTGATCTCCAAGTAGCTGAACATAAGCATTTCCAGTCAATGTTCGGTCCAGTCGCACCAGAGGACCAAGTCCATGCCATGAAAAAAGCCCACACCATTACGGAGCCACCACCAGCTTGAACAGTGCCTTGCTGACAGTTTGGGTCCATGGCTTCGTGGGGTCTGCGCCACACTCGAACCCTATCAGCTCTTAAAAACTGAAATCGTGACTCATCGGACCAAGCCACGGTTTTCCATTCATCTATGGACCAACCGATATGCTCACGTGCCCACGAGAGTCGCTGCAAGCGATGTCGTTCTGTCAGTAAAGGCACTCGAGTCGGTCTTCTGCTGGAATAGCCCAAAAAAGCCAAATTTCGCCGCACAGTTCTAACAGACAAGTCCCTTGTACGTCCCCCATGGATTTCTGCGGTTATTTGACGCAGTGTTAGTTGTCTGTTAGAATTTACGACTCTTTGCAGACGTCGCCGGTCTCGGTGGTTAAGTGCAGGCGGTCGACCACTGCGCTGTCCATGGTGGGATGTTATGCCTGAAATTTCATACTCTCGGCACACTCTTGACACAGTGGATCAGGGAATGTTGAATTCCCTAACGATTTTCGAAATGGCATGACGCATGCGTCTAGCTCCAACTAACATTCCGCGTTCTTCAAAGTCTGTTAATTCCCGTCGTGCGGTCATCATCACGTCAAAACCTCTTCACATGAATAACTTGAACATAAATGAAAGCTCTGCGAAAGCACTGCTCATTTGTACCTGTTCTACGCGATGCTACTGCCATCTGAAAATTTGCATATTGCTATCCCATGACTTTGTCACTTGGCAGAATCTTCCCCAACATCTCTTCTGAATTTTTCCAGAAGAATTTTAGAAGGACACAAATTTGCAATTCAGGTGAGTTCATTGGAAGATTCCGATGAAGATTCTATCCTATTTTTTGTTCTTCTAAATTAACTGCATTTAAGGTTGTTGTAATCAAATAACTTGTTTTCCCCATAGAACGTTGCGTTGGATTAACGCTCTTCGGCAAAAAACAGGTGTATTTTTCTGGTAGCAGGAATTCATCTTTTAAATGGAAAGCACTTAATCCCCACTAATTGGCTTTTGGAAGATTAAAAGTGTTTCTCTAGTAAAAAGAGGTACCATCCTCAATTAGTGCATCGTAAACATTATTAAAATGAATAAAATTGCAAGCTCTAAGATGATCTCAACTATGTTCCATTTCTGAAATAAATGTCGTAAAAAGAAAGAATAGGAAAAATAATTCTGGTTAAATGTTTGGAAGGATTCACGAATAGTATAATTAAATATAATGTTTTTAATCAAACGGCATATTTAAATTAGTTACGACATTAAAGGAAATGTTACATGTTTTTAATTTTAACTATAATATATGACGCAAAAAGTAATGTTTTCTGTATTTAAAAGAGTTTTTTTTTTTTACCATTATTATTTTGTTATAATAAATTTTGATTAAGTATAAAAGGTTATGTATCAGAAGTATCAAATGTTACTGTTATTATTAAGTATCAAAGCTACCGTTACTTATTAAATATTAGTAATTGTTTTTTTGAAACACAAAGAATCAAATACGTCATTATTAAGAGTTATTAGTGTTATTGTTACATAAATGCTACAGTTATTAAGCATCAAAGGCTACTATTATTATTAGGTATTACTACTGTTATTATTTATTTTGTGCAATCACGTTAGTTAGGTTCAACAACGGTGTTAACCATTTTGTTTGTTCTGTGCACCACAAGTTGTGTTGTATCTATTTTTATTACTGGAATTTTTCTGTGCTTATTTTGTTTCTTCT